CTGTATGTTTTTTTCTTCTTTTCTTTTTTTTGTACAATAGGACAGTTTTGTCTTATTTATGTCCTTTCTTTGTCTGTCGAGATGTTGTTCACTACCCAGCATCCTGGTAACACAACCAAAAGCCGAATAGTCCCATATCTTTTAACTGCTGAAACATCTTATTTCCTCAGTTCATGATGTACTTGTGTTGCCTGGGATCTTGTGTGCTCTTATAGGTCTGTAGGGTTTCTTGTGGTATTTTGGTTAATCATATTGTTTCAGTTCTGGTGTGTTGGGTCTTGATGTTCAGGTTAAATTATTGTCAGGGTCTTTCACTGTTAGGTTCCTGAGTTTTGTTCGTATGTATGTTTTGCCTGTATGCCAAAGCATTTTGTAAATCTTCAATTGTGATTCATAGATAACATTATTATTATTATTATTATTATTATTATTACTTTTTCAATTATTATTATTATTTGGGGTTAATAAGATCCAGAAAACAGCCAATGATCTTTTAATTTCTGGGAACATATTAAATATTGATAATAAAATGCCTGTAGACTACATGAGTGTTTCAGTCCTCTGAAGTGTTGCAGTTATTTACACTGGTCTCTCTTCTTGTTTGTCTCTGACGGCTTTTTTCTTTAAATATCAGCCTCCCTCATTCCTTTCTATTTCTGTCCACACATATCTGCCCTCACCAACATGACAGCAAACACCGTTCTCACTCAGTTTATTAATCCCTTATCTTGACCTATCATCTTTAAATGAACAGAGACATGAAGCAACAGTAACAGAGACCAGCCTGTTTTTAATTATTTGACCTGATATAACCTCTGAGGATGGCGTGGTCAAATTCTGTGAACACATGTCAAGGGAGTGTGCTGAGGCTCAGATTATAGAGGAATGCTGGCCGTCTAGGACAGACTCCATCCAGGATCTTTGGAGGATTTTCTGCACAATTTTTAGCCCCAGACAAACCGAACAGAGACTCCAGGATGGACACACGTTAACTTTTATGTTTTATGATTCTCTTCAAACCACGTGTTTGAGAATATTTAACATTTATCTGATGTAAACTGAATTCAGCATATGTCATTTTCATAGATTTCATTTCACATGACTGTAAAAAAGATCCCCTCCAAAATACTAAATATGGGTTAAGATTTTTTAACAAAACTACTTTTTAAATATGATTTTAATTGTGATATGACAGGGATTTACAGGGGATTTCACAATATAAATTATTTAGATTGTACCATAATAAAGTGTAAGAAAACAATGATAAAGTCTTAATCATTCATATTTTCTATATTGATTGGATTCTAAGTGAAACATATCATGCCTTTTTTTTTTTTTTTTTTTGCTATAATTTGACAATTTTGGCTTTAAACCCATAGTTTGAAATCAATGTTTATCTCTAAACGAGGATAAACTTGATTCAAAGAGTTTGGTTGTGAGAGGGGTTTATATTGAAACAACACTGAAATTAAAAAGAATTTAGAAAGTGAATAAAATGTACATTAGATATATCAAAAGAAAACTGTCAAAATCTATTGTTGTGCTTTTCAAAATAAATTTTTTTTAAAAATTACATTGCTGTGAAGACAGTTGGGAAAGTCTTTCTGTGCAAAAGTCTAACAGAGTCAGTAGCCTACAAGATCCTTCACAGGTTACAGCACACCCTGACCTCTGAACACTCTTCATCCTTGAGGTTCTCTCTCAGCGTCAAATGCAAGGAAGAGTTGGGATCGAGTTTCTTACTGATAATTAAAATTCTGGGAAAATATCTTGCAGGATGTTAACTTTTATGTCTGCAAAAAGAATAAAAATGAATCCTGTTTTTTTCTGTTAAATCTTTACAGTTGGGGTCTTTCTGTGACAAATGCCCCCACTAAATCTTCGACACAAAGTAATTATTTGATCTAATATTGACCATTGTTTCAGATGCATTTTTAAGTTCTGCCACTGTAGCACCTTAGCTCAGTGTTTAAATGTTATGCTAGGGCTTTTGTTCGGTTGTGGGCTCCCTTTCTGAATCATCTCTCTAAGGGCACCACAGACCAGGTACGTAGTGGGTGCTGTGGTGTTGTGTGGAGTCCCCTTTTCCTCACAAAGAACTATTCTTGTGTACTGTACTAGTTTGTGGGAAATATTCTCACACAGTCCCATGTGGTTTTGCAACATGTATGTCTACCGCAGTAATTTCTATTCACACTTTTATTTATTATTGTTTAGGGGTTTTTGTATCAGTATATGATCCATGATATTCTCCCTACAGTCTTTGCTGTCATGAGTTTTTTGTTTGTAAGTCTTCAAAATTAATGTACCATAGAAAAAAAATTGATGTCTACAAGGTCAGCATCATTCACTGATTATACAGTATGTGGTGGGTGTTCATTTCAGACCCTGCCTTTTGCTATAAAATCACTAAAACCCAGTCAAGAGAAAGCTCTCCAGAGTGTTTGGTTTGCAAACAGAAACCCCCATTCTGGGGTAAAGCTTGCCTGGTTTGTCTGTCACAGAAACTGACATGTAAGACTTCATAACTGGCAAAAACAAAAGTTGACCATTCCGTTAGCTAAGGTTGTGCAGATTATTGGGATTTAGAAATCTACATGATACTGTTTAAAAAAAGAGAACAAATTGGGCGGCAGCTGTCTGAATGATCTAGTATGCATTTCTGTTGTTATTGATATCACTGTGGTTCTAATTACATTTCTAGCAGCTTTTTAAGAGACACTTTGAAGATTAAAAAGACCCCAAAATGGATTACAGAAATGATGGAAATGAAACTCAAGGTCAGGGGAAGGAAAGATTGCCTTTTTCAACTGGTATTTCATTTTACCACTCATAGGCCAGGAGCCAGAACCAGCCCCAAGGACATTTTTTGCTACCTCTTTTTCACGATAATTTCTTGTAAACCCACCTTCACTATCTCAAGATGATAAAGACTACATCCAAATCTGGGCCATTTGGTCCAAGAAGTTGAAAAAAATCTTTTTTTGATAAAAATACTTTTGGCTTGATAATGTTAATCCAGAAAATCAGTTGCTACTTTGACATTTTAAGTTAAAAATAAAAAATGTAAAACTTGGTACAGGGGATCCTGAAAAAAATAGTAATATAATAGGATTCAGGTGCCTGCTACCTCTTACCTTTGAATTAATGATATCATCCTTGTTCGCTGGATAAAATGTAACAGTTCCATGGCCAATATCAATGCCCTTTTGATATTATTAAAAATTCCCAAATTTGTAAGCTTTAATTTGAGGTCACGATGACCTCTTTATTGCAAAAATTACGCTTTCTGGGACCTAAATACTTCACCATATCTACAATCTTGAAGAACAATTTTTTCAGTCTTGAGCTTCCACATGGGGTCTACCTGTTAATGAAATCCAACACAGTGTTCATGTGATCTGCCTCTGCTGCTTTCTGTAAAGAACATGACAAGTGAAAACTACAGTCAGAATAAAAATTCTTTTAACTATATTAAGATATTTTCCCAGGATTTATGTGGACTAACTGCTGTAGACAAGCAGTGGCTCAGGCTATGTTGATACTCAACATTGCTATAACAAAATGTTGAGTGTCAACAACAACAAAAGAAACCCAAACCTTTACAGGTTGTTTTGCAGACTTTTTTAAAGTTTCCGAAGTTTTGACAAAAGTATGAAGTCAGACAAGAGTATGTCATGCAATGTGGATTTCTTTTGACATGTACCGTTCGATCTGAGTGTTTAGATGTGTAACACTGCCCTCTGGTGTTAGAGCATCTGCATCACAGCAGAGTCTCTTCAGGAGTGAGAAACCACAGGATCAAGTGAATGCAATAGATTCATTTAATTCACTGACTGTAAATGAAATTATTCTTACACTAAAATGAGAATAACTGAGTTCGTATTTTTACGCCTGAAAATATCACTACACCTTGTTCTGAAATCTATAACAACAAGCTTTTAAGTTTACTGCCATAAATGTCCATCAGTGCAGCGAACTGAAATAACAAACAAACCACAAAAAAGAACAGAAACAACTGTCCAATCAGATAGAAAACAAAAACTCATTTTGGTTGCTTTTTGTTCACACAAAATAATTTCATATTTAAGAAATCTTTTAGATCTAGAGCCATTAAAACAATTTTTTGCTTCAGTTGTTCTATTTCCAATCCCCATTATACGTTATCCTCATTTTTATAAACACTATAACTGCTATGCTATTACTACAAACCCTTTGACTTTAATTTTCCTTTAATCAAACTAAGATCTGTCTGCTATTATCATTGTGCTGTTCCTGTAAATAGTACACATATTTGTTCCATTAATTCTGGTATTGAAACTATAGAGGAAATAATAGCTTTTTTTTTCTCTGATTTAGACACGCCCTGTCTGTGTTAAACTAATGTTCCCCAATGTGGTAAATGCTCATGACTGTTCACAACTATCAACACCTTTGGTTTAACTTCCTGCACAACTCCGTGGTTGTTAAAGCTCTCCCAAACAGTGTTTTTGTTGGTATTTGATTCTGTATGACATAAACTGCATATTACTTTTGGCTTCTAAGAGTTTTTTATTTGTTTGATCGATTTTAACATAAAAGGTGCCATCCAAAAGCACAATGCTGTTATTTTAAATTACAGTGGCTCATCTTAACAATTGAGTGCATTGAGTACAAGGCTTTATTTTTAAATATATACATACAGACAGACAGACAGACAGACATACATACATACATACATACATACATACAGTACGTGAACTGTCAAGTGAAGCACCTTGCAGTCTTGACTCTGGGCAGCAACACTTATTAACTCAGGGTTTCTTTCTTCCGCCTGTTGATACTGCGCCATAAAAGTGCAGAAATGCTGTGCTAATAAACACCCAAATTTTCAAATATCCATATTCAACCTCTTGGGATTGTAACAGTTTAAGTGCAAACGCATACTTTATAATGAACGATATAAATAGAGAGAGAAAAGAAAAACTTGTTTGATAAACACAGTTTTCCTTCACATGACTGTACACGCATGCGCAGTCGGCCGGTTGTAACTCGAAGTGTTCAATAATCTGGGAAGCTGTTGGCTCTGGACATCTCACAGCAAAATCAGCTCAAACTACAGAGTGCAGTTTTATAGAGGAATTTTATTCGTTCACAGGGTTTCACTGACGAGCAGCGATGAGCTTCTTCGGTTTTGGACAAAGTGCGGAGATCGATATAATCCTGAATGACGCTGAGACGAGAAAGAAAGCTGAGCATAAGAGCGAAGACGGCAGGAAGGACAAGTATTTTCTGTTCTATGACGGAGAGACGGTCTCTGGAAAAGTCAACGTGACATTAAAGTACCCGGGGAAGAGGCTGGAGCACAACGGCATCAAGATCGAGTTTATTGGGCAGATAGGTGAGCGGCTGACAGGCCTGAAGTGGGATAGGAGGTGTTGTGAAGCTCGATAAATCCAGTCAGCGTACTCATGACCTCTCACAATGTGTGTTTTATTAACTTAACCTTCATTTGTAACAACTGAACATTTTATATGTTCACTACAGACCGCTGAGTGACGTAACAAGTGTCAGTTAGAAGTGTCAGGTCTCGTGACAGATGTGGGTGCAAGCTAACGTCACGTGACACAGCAGCCGTTGGCTAACTTGTTCCCTGACCTTTCACACCTGTTTTTCTTCCCTTTTGAATTTTAATTTCTCAGTAAGTTTGTTAATATGACTTTAATGATAAACAACAGATGAAAGTATAAAGTTCACTTGTCAGATAAGTTATAGTGGCGGCAAGTTAAACCAAGTTAAAGTTAGCAAACTGAGTGCAGAGGAGTTTGCGCACTCGGGCAGTTTGAGGGGCAGGGGCGGAAAAAAGGGCAACAGGGGGTATTGCCAGAGGGGCAGAAGGGCACAGAAGTTGCTTTCTGTTGTTTTATTAGTCCACTTTGTTATGTGATAGGAACAAAACTTGTAGGCATTGCATCTTTTCACAGAGAAACCAATGTAGTGTAAACAGGACTGTGACACAAGCTACAGCTGATTTGCAGTCCGTGTCCTTAATCAGGCTTTTGGAGGCAGATGGCACAAAACAGATTCAGGAACTAACAATTATAGTAGGCACAAACAAGCATTCACACAGATGCAGAAAAACTAACAGTAAAGCAGATCTAGATCAATCACTTGTGCTAAAAAACTACCAATTAAAGGTGTAAAATGGGGATGTTGAAGCACTTCCTCTCCAAACTCTCCCACCACTGAGTTACTGGTGGCTGTCGAGGACTAAAAGACGTGATAAAAATGGCACCATCTTTGTCACAACAGACACGAGTAATTCGACCATTTTAAAGGATGAGGTGGTGGGATATTTAGTTATTTTATCTGAATATGTAGCAGTCACTAATTTCTGAGATATCGATTATGAGTGTCATGGGTTTGAAAAGATATGCTGAGGTTAGCTAAGTAATGTTAAGCAAAGCCAACATTTATTATCTTTATTACAACAGTATGTCAGGGCCACATCAACAATATTTTTTTTCTGTCATTTTCATATGAAAATGAAGTTGTATTAAAATCATTTTTATAAGAATAAAGATAAGGGTATAGTATGACAAAAAAAGCCATAAGTAAAGAACATCCTCGTGTTGTGAGAATAAAGTAGTGATAACGTGGTAGTTTTGGTTCACGGTGAGCAGCCAGCTGTCTGTATCCAAACAAGGAACATGGAGCGTTGGGTTAAAGTGTCTCTAATGTTTTGTCTCCTTAGTTCCACAATGTTTTAAGTATCAGGACTCTGAAAAGACTGAGCAGAAAGCTAAATCGTGCGATATCATCCTTCAAAACAGCATTATGAGGCAACTTGGTCAGCTCTGAGTATTGTGGAGAGTTAAAGGACAATGAGTTGAGTTTCTTCTAGAGTAAAGAAATAAATGATGAGCCCCAACATCTCCTCATAGTTAACTCTAATCTTTCTGTGAGAACATAAACAGGATCCATTAAAGCAGCTCTAATTGAGATCATTCAGCTTCATTTGTCTGTAAACTAATGTCACTTTGAGAGAATAAACCTAAGCTTACCTGTCCAGCAAAACTGACAACTTCAACGTTGTTCTTCAAACAATAGTGTATCATTAGAATTTTCCATCTGTGAAAGGCACCACAAATGTTAACCACTTATTTTCTGCTGTCTCTTGTCCTGATCTCATTTTACTTCATGTTTTTGATTTTCAGACTAAAACTCTGATTCCCCCAGACTAATGCTCCACCAGTGATTCATGTTCAGTTTGATTCTCCATTTGTGAAGTTTTTAAAATGAAAAATTTAGTAATCAGTACAAATTCATTTGGGCACTGCAACAACTACAAAAAAGGATTTTTTTTTCAGGACCCAAAGCAGGTTGGGTTCCCGTCAGTTAGTCTGTTCTGAGCTACCGTAAAAAAACACAGCGATGTAACATGGCAGCCTCCATAAGAAGACCCGCTGCTTCTACAGTAGAAGACTTTTTCAAAGTCATCAGAAATAAAATGATTATAATACTTAATTCAATATAACCTAATCAAACATACATCAGCCTTTTACATTTTATTTATTTGAAAAAATACTGCTTAATACTACATAATGCACCTTAAATGTATATATAAACAAGTAACAACAGTTTTAGATTCAGTGTTCATCAACGAAAAATCTAAATAATGTGGTCTAGTGTAGTCAGTAAATGTGGTCATTATATATTAGTGATTACTATTTTCTGTATTCAAACTAATTAAATCAATCAATCAGGAATTGATGTCAAGGTTATGCTGGTTTTTAAATCTTTGTTTAACTCTGTAAACACTTACTTGTGTAATATCTGGACAGTTAAGGATAAAATGAGGTTTGTACACAGCGCTGTTAACTGTAAGAGCAAAAAGAAAGATCATATGTCAAAAAGCCAACTGAGGTTGCTATAGTAGCTGTTTGAGTCTGTATCAACATGCAGTCGGAGAAGTTTATGAAAATGAGAAATAAGCATGGAGGCAGAAAAGATTATTGGGCACCTGTTGCAGATTGTGTCCCTGCCATGGGTGAGGCTGCTTGCACATTATCACTTTCAGCTGTTGAAAAACTGTAATCGATCAACCACTTATCCTCACTGCTCTGCCTCTCTTTGGTGTTCAGTAATCATAAGGTAGTTTCTCAGACTTGGGATCAAAGTCCAGTTGTTCTTTTTGGTTAGGAAGGCTACCTACTGAGTGAAACGACCCAGAAATGTTTACCATGATAAGGGTTGCTTGAATTCACCAAATTCTACTGGTTATACTGTGGGTCTCATGAACAACTAAAAATCTATATTGTCTCTGGAAAACCAGTTTATGTCGACCCCTTCTTCACTGGACTAAACAACTTAATCAAGCTTCTGATCCGTGCAGATGCATTTGAAAAGAAAGGAGTGTGAGCATATTCACTACGTCAAATATTTTACATCCTTTGATAAATTATCAGCTTTGCTGAACTTTCGCTTAATCATTCATTCAATCAATCAAAGAGTATTTCTGAATTATATTCATGTTACATAAATGAGTGCAGTTAAAGTTAAATCAATATTCACTGTAACTTTTCTTTCTCAGAAAATTTCCTGATCCCTCTCGTTTTAGCGAGTATTAATGCAACAATTCAGTTACTGTGACACAAATTACACAACACAAAGCTAAACAGACGTGACAAATGTAGACAGTGTAAATATGCAGCTTGTGATAAAAACAGATTGTAAGGTAAGAATGAGCTTTGTGAGAAATGATTTTTTCACAATATTCTACTTTATTGAGATGTGTTGTTTGTGCGCTTTTAGGGTACAGGTTGTTATAGCAGATTAAAACCTCAATCAGAGGGATTTCTTTGGTAGACTTTGCTCTGAAAACATATCATAATCATAATCATAATATTGCCTTTTAATGTAAGATTTAGTGTATCTGAATGTATAAAAAGGTCTTTTTTAAGATGAGTTTGCAGCAACAGCAGAGAGTTCCTGTTATTTTGGGTGTAACATCCTTGACTAACAAAATTATTTAACATTTTCTCAGCTCCCATCCCTTCCCCTTTTTTCTGAGCACTATACTTTTAAATAGAAGCAAGAAGTAGAGGAAGAAAAGGTACTTTGTACTGGGGAAAGCAGCAGCCTCATCAGTAGCCTCATTTCAAAGAAACTTGAGTTTCATTTGTGGTACTCACATCAAACATGAAGCTTCAGAGGATAAATAAAGAAGTTCCTGTTTGAAGATGATTAACTTTCTCTTTTTGTGAGATCAGATCTTGACTTTCATCCTCATTTCATTTCAGCCATGAACTCTTTAAAAGTTGACTAAAACTGCTCCACTGTGGCAGATTGACTGGCTCTTTAAATGTGTTTTTTCAGAGCTGTACTATGACAGAGGAAACCACCACGAGTTTGTGTCTCTGGTCAAAGACTTGGCTCGACCTGGAGAGCTCACACAGTCGCAGACATACGACTTTGAGTTCACACATGTGGAGAAACCCTACGAGTCATACACGGGACAAAACGTCAAGTTACGGTAAGCTCTGCTGTGTGCTGAGTCATGTTTTAATGTCTGGTAGAGTGCTTCAGCTTGCAGCCTCAGCATGGGCTTTAATGGCTGCAGTCTGTCAGGGAAGTATATTTTTACAAAGATGTTTTTTTTTTTTTTTTTTTTTTTTCAGAATAAAGGTCATGTATTTTTGTGACTGGAGCAAAATGTTAAAACATATTTTCACAAGCTGACCTGGGCCTAAATTCCTATGATGAATTTAATCTCAGGAATTTCATCACTGTATTTGTGAAAAATGTCAGTATAACCGAAAGAACAAAAACAGAAAGAGGGTGGGTGGGTGACATAAACGCTGTTTTTCCTTTCAGCCAGGAAATATGAATGACTCTGCTAACACAAACATGCCATTCTGCTTCTGTGGAATTTCAGTGTACCAATCCGGACATTAATAAGGTTTAGTCAGGTAACAGCATAACGTAAGCTTTGATTTTATTTGTGTTACCTTGTCATGTCTCGACACGCTGTAAGTAGCCAACATTGTGTAACTTTGTCAACTCTAGTTTGAGCAAAATACAAGAGAATAAGCAATCCTTACATGTCAGAAATATCAGAGCATCAGCTTTGATTACCCGCAGCCAGAGCTAATAAGCACAGAATGCATTTCTGCTAGAAACATTTCCTGAGTGAGGTGACAGTGCCAGAGCTGGAAATGATTGGCCAGTTACCTTGTCAAAGATGACACTTGGATTGAAGCTATTTGGATCGTGTTTAGCAGGTTGCTAGTAGCTTTGTATTTCAGCGTAGAACAGACCGACATATATGTCCTCTTAAAGCTCCTGTGAGTTTTTTAAACATTTATCAAATATGCTGATATTCATGTTGATCCAAATAATATGCAAGATTGTAACATTTATTTATTTATTCATGTTTTATAATAGAAGTCAAGTTAATTGAGATGAGAGGAGATAGCCTTTCTTGTTGGGAGTAACCCAAACTAATGTTTGCTATATTTGGTCACTCTAACAGTAGTCTGTGCCGTAGTTTGGCCCTCAGGCCCAAAAAAAGTCAGACTATCCCAATGACAGGCGACACAACATGGCTATGGCTGCCTCACAAATCAATGCAGTAAAAATCACACTTGAGCTGTTTGAAGACACCTTTTGTGTTAAACATATTCAGTTTAACCACATGCTTGTTATTAGATTCATATACAAAGTTTGATTAGTCATGATATTGTGCATGTAAATATTTTCATAAGTGGATTGGGAACCTTTCAGGCAACTCAGCAATATGTGAATAAATATCATTAAAATGAGCTTCAGCGTTATCAGCTGCTAGAAAAAAGTGATGAGCATACAAATCTACCAAAATTTCATAAAAACCCAATAAACGTACTGAAACAGGCCTTTGTGTATGGTTATTTAATTCTTCTTCCTAGGTGGGAGTTGGTGCTGACCTCTATCTGTACTGTATTTTGTAACTTGTCACATTTTTGCGTCTTTGTATTATTTTATATTAAATATATCATATTAAAATAAGAAAGTAAAGTAAATCATCATAGGTAAGGTGAATTATTTCTAACCCTAACCGTAATAGCAGAGCTTTTTTATGTTTTATATTAATTGTTTCTCCCAGTTACTTCCTGAGGGCAACAGTGAGCCGGAGACTGAATGACATCAGCAAAGAGCTGGACATCGTGGTTCACACGCTCAGCACCTACCCCGAACTCAACTCCTCCATCAAGATGGAAGTGGGCATCGAGGACTGTCTACACATAGAGTTTGAGTACAACAAATCCAAGTAGGTTTATCTTTTTGTTCTTGATCAGAAATGAACTCATTAATTTCCCTTTTAAAAAAAGCTAAAAGATGAAGAAAAAGAGTGCTGTTTTGTTACAGATTTTACTGTCTGTTTCAGGTATCACCTAAAAGATGTCATAGTTGGTAAGATTTACTTCCTGCTGGTGAGGATTAAGATCAGACACATGGAGATTGACATCATAAAGAGAGAGACGACAGGCACAGGACCGAACGTCTACCATGAGAACGACACCATAGCAAAGTATGAGATCATGGATGGAGCACCTGTCAGAGGTAATGAGGAAGAGGAGGCTGTTTGCTGTCTTCGCTGGGTAATGAGTTGTGTGTCTCTTTTGTATCTAATCTGTCTGTGATTGGCTATTCTGCAGGAGAGTCCATTCCCATCAGGTTGTTTCTGGCTGGTTATGAGATGACGCCCACTATGAGGGACATCAACAAGAAGTTTTCAGTGCGGTACTACCTCAACTTGGTCCTCATCGACGAGGAAGAGAGACGCTACTTCAAACAGCAGGTACAACCACTGCACATGGCTTCATGTTGGTCTAAAAGTTACCTTCGATCGAACTGTTAGCTTTGCACAGTCTATGATCCAGCTGTTGGAGGTTCATAAAGTTCTCTCAATGCTCAGGTGTTAAGCAGTTTGGCCAGGTCAGACTGTTAGTGGGGGAAATTCAAACACAAAAAGGGTTGACAACAAACCTGACTATTTTGGCTTGTAATGCCCATCCCTGCTGCGGGCATATCAAAGTAATCAAGGGCATTTCACTTGCTCCCCTGAAATTCAGGTAATTATTCAAAAGGAAATAAGCAGGAGATGGTCCTCAAAGATGTAATGGTTGCTGTGCCACCTTGTTGAAGAAATGACCCTGATGTCAACAGAGTTCGAGCATTTCAGCATTTGCGTCAGGCTTCAAATTATCAACAGAACTAGCCCTGTGGCAGACAGCTTTGTGTCAGTTGAACTTGATTTGGGTATTTTAACAAAGCTTTCATGAAGTTCCTTTATCCAGCAGCTTGAGTATACAGATTTAACTGAAGATGATCAGGATTTGATCAGGATAGTATCAGAAATACACAAACATGGCGACACAAACCCTCCAGCCAGCATCGCCGATTTTTTGTGATGAAGGCCATTTGTGTCATTTTTATGTATGAAACATAAGCTTTTAGCTAAATTTACTGTATATATTTCATTGTGTTGGGTGCAAATCACTTGAGTTGAGGCGTTTTCTTCAAGAAATTTGCCACATTTCATAATCTGAATTCACTTATGCGTATACTAAGGCACCAATAACTGTTTCAGATGTTAGGTAGATGTATTTGTGACATTTGAGAAAGATTTTGTCTCGCCAGAATCAACATAGCAGTTTCTACAAGCAAAAACAGCAGCACCATATAATTGCTTTTTGTGTTTCTCACATAAGTACATTTCTGGCAGGTGACAAAAGTTGGACAGATAGTCTGAGTAGATATTTTAACCCAAAGTCCAGAATGGAATTGTCTATGCAAAAATACATTGAACAAGTAGCACCAGCGTAGTTGAACGAAATTCACTTTCTAGGCACTTTTTCCTTTGTCCCAATTCAGCCTACAGTATAATGATTTCTTATGATTTGCAAAAGCAAACAAATCCATCAACCACAAGATTGATGATGTTTGTAAAGAAATTTAAATGCCTGAAACTGCGGCAAGGGGTTAACTGTGAGCTGAGTAGTTGAAGAAACAGCCCTGTTTTCACAATTTCCATGTAAAATATTCTCAATAAATTATACATTAGAATCAGTAGGATGAGATCCTTTTCTAAGGAAGGCACTAAAGGACAAGAAAAGCAAAGACTGCTTTGTCCACAGGGGTCAACAAAATTGACACAAACCAAAACTGAAGAGAGTGATTCTGACTTCCAGATGATTGGAGGGAGCTCCAGAGGAACAGGAATCGCAAAGGCTCTGTCTACAACACATTCTGTTTAAGTGGAAAACTGATATGATAGAGGCAAGGTGACATGAATGAGCAACTGCTGGGCCATCAGACAGCCTCTCAGGCAGGTAAACTTGATAGGCGTGATAGGGGTGCGATCTCCCCCATCCCTCCAAAAATGTGCTCTGTTATGTTTCAGGAGATTACCCTGTGGAGGAAAGGAGACGTCATGAGGAAGAGTATGTCTCATCAAGCAGCCATCGCCTCTCAGCGCTTTGAGGCCCCCTACAATCCTGAGAAGCCCCCCAACCAGAACAGCGAAGATGACAGCTAAACCCCTGCCCACTCTTCAGCTTTGTGTAGTGAGTGTGCGAGTGAAACATGGCGCAGAAATATCAGCGAGCTCTGAATGTGAAGGTTATTTGTTTGCATGAAGACAGAATGAGCTGCAGTGTTTTGAAGGACGGGAGTGTGTGTGTGTGTGTGTGTGTGTGTGTGTGTGTGTGTGTGTGTGTGTGTGTTTGTGTGTGTGTGTGTGTGTGTGTGTGTGTGTGTGTGTGTGTGTGTGTGTGTGCTAAGGGAACAAACAGTCAGACCAAGCTCAGACTGAAGTCAACCAAGTGTTTGTTTTACCTACCTTGAAGTACCAGCTGGGTGGAGTTTACCACATCAGGACTCTTTGTCACAAAGAGACTGCACGACATAGACTTAAAGTGCTTAGCTTGAGTCTCTGGCATTTATTGTACAGTTCATCGTGGCAAACTCCACCCGTTAGATGCACTTGAATATCATTGGAGAATGATCTTTGACCAATATGACCATGAATTCACACTTGTGTATGAATGTGCATTGTGGCTAAGGAAACTTTTCTCTCTCACTTCTTTCTTGCCAGGTAGATGTTAAAGCTGCAGCCGTGAATTAAGTTTCTTTAAAAAGCATTTAACGAAAGATTTTATTCATAAACTGTGTATGAGAAGTCCCTCAGGGTGTAAACTTGAGTTCCAAAGCTTTTGAGTTTGACTCAGCTCAAACTGTGGTGTTCAATGGCTATTAGCTGAATTCTTGAATACAAGAACAAGGATATCATTTCACTGCACAGTGAGGGATCAGTTTCATTTCTGCTTCAGAAACACTGGTGCAAGCAACATGACGCTAGAGCACCTGCCTTTCAATCATTGCTACTTGGACTAAAAAGTATTTACTGTACTGCTTTCATGCACCATATGGACACCATTTGATGACACCCACCAGAAATTTTAAGGTAGAATGTCTTCTTATATGTTACTCTGAAATCAGAACACCTATCAAAGATATCAAAATGATAGCTGATAATTGTTTGTTTTTATCATCTCTTTTGCAAGACATAAACACAAGTGAGAATCAGATCTTGAAGCACTTAAAAAAGGGAAAAATTGAATGATGCAAACTGCAAATAATTTTCTCACTTTTAGAAAAAAAAGTTCCAGTGTGGCTTATGTGATCACTGCAGCACCACCCCCTTGTGCCCCCAGAGGCTAAATGTAAGCTGCCCAGTCGGAATGATAAAGAGGTTGGCTGTTGTCACAGGATGCTTTTCCTCTGACTATCATCGTGACATTTGTTTCAAAGCAGTTCATATCACTGAATCAGACAACTTCAATAATCACTTATGCAAACTTAAATTGCAGCGCAGTGTTCCTCTCTTCCTAATAATTACACAGAGGATCAATGATGTCCCTTCAACATGCCAGCTATGACTCAGTCTGTGGGAACAAAAGAGCAAATCTTACTAGAATGAAAAGGAAGTTTAAACCCAGGAAGTTTAATACAACTTTCAATCACAAATCAATCAAAAACAAATATTGTATTTCCTTCTACACAGTGAATTTCCAATACACACTGTTGTATAAATATCATGTTCATTAAATCAATGAATGATTTGAATCTTAAACACCCCCAACTTTCTGGAGAGAAGACCCCTTGAAAATATTAATGTACACTACAGGCCAAAAGTTTGGAAGCAAGGCCATGACAGGCTGAACAGTTGGGAGTAACTTCAAGTTTTTCTTCACAGTGTTTTTTTTTAAATCCAGCATGAGTTTTCTGTATTTTGGGATGTATTTACTCCATGATCAGATGTTGCTTTCATGGAAATGCACCATTTTACTCCATTTACCTTTAGATATACAGTACATTGATGTTAACAGATCATTGCTAAATATATATCAGCAAAAGAAAATAAGGGCTTACTTTTAGGGTCAAAAACATTTGAAAGAGTCACAACTTCAGTGCAAAAGCAAAAAAAAAAAATCACAAATGGATTATTCACTTGAACTTTTCGGCTTTTGAGAGTCTGCATACAAAAATCCTAATAAATCTCAACTGCGTTCAAACTACCGCAAAAATGGCTAGAAAGAAGCAACTGAGTAAAGAAACAAAAAGTACGGATTCATACATTGAGAAAGAAGGGTACACAGAAAGAGAAATTGCAAAACACCTAAAGGTGTTTAACAAAGGAGTCCACTACACTCTGAAGAGACTAGAGGAATCTGGAAGTTATGATGATAGAAAAAGACCTGGACGAAAGAGAATTACTACAAAAGCAGAGGATAAACATAGCATTGTCACCAGTAAGAGAGATCGGCGAAAGACAGCAACACAAATAAGGGAAAAAATCAACATATCTCTGACAACTGTGAAAGACATTTGAGAAAGGCTGGTCTGAAGGGTTGTGTATCTGCAAAAAAAACACTACTTTGTCCACAGAACAAGAAAAAGAGATATGAGTGGGAAAAAGTTCACAAAAACTGGACTTATGATGACTAGAAACAAGTTCTCTGGACCGATGAAAGCAAGTTTGAACTGTTTGGTTCAAAACGCAGAGTCTATGTCCGCAGACAAACTGGTGAACGTCTGAAAGCACCATGTGTTACACCCACAATTCAGCATGGAGGTGGTAGTTCCATGGTATGGGGATGTTTTGCAGGTGATGGAGTGGGAGATTTTTTTGATGTAAAGGGTATCATGAAGAAGGAACAGTACTACTCCATCCTCCAGCACCATGCTGTTCCATCTGGACTAAGACTTGTGGCTCATAAGTTTGTTTTGCAGCAAGACAATGACCCTAAGCACTCTGCCAAGCTTTGTCAGGGTTACCTAGACAAAAAAGATGAGGAAGGTGTTCTTCAAAAGATGGTTTGGCCCCCTCAGTCTCTGGACCTTTCTCCAATTGAGCTTGGGTGGGATGAATTGGATTGATCGGTCAGAAAAACACGTCCCACGAATCAGCAGTATCTTTTTAATGAACTTGAGAAAGCTTGGAATGCAATCCCTGGAACACACCTTAAAAAACTTGTGGAACGAATGCCTGGTATCTGCCAAGCTGTTGTTAAAGCCAGAGGAAGTTACTTTAGAGAAAGCAAAGTCTAAGCAACAATAACTCAAATACCTAATAATTAAAATGAAAATGTCTTCTAATAAGTTACTCTTTACACAATAGTCATGTTTATTGTGTTGCAAATTATATATGTGAAGCTATGATCTTTTTTTGTACAAATCTGATCTTGCTTCCAAACTTTTGGCCTGTAGTGTATTTATAAAAACATATATATGTATAAAATGTGAGGATAGATTATGTATGATCCTGGCTTGTAATTATGGTAGTCCAGTCAATCATTTGCTAATAAATCATACAGAGAAGTTGAAATCGTTCAAGTATTTTTCTGCTCTAAATTCAGTGCTTAGTGTCCCATTTCTCATAAAGCTTCGTCAACATGGCTGTAGGTAGGAGTGACTTTCGGTGAAAACGGGCCACACACGAACATGGTAAAGATACAGAACTTCATTTTGTGTTCATTTGGGTCAGGCTGACAGCTGAGTTTATACAACTAATAGAGTCATCCCTTTAAAAGCTGGTTTAAGGTACTTCTGCAGCTCTGGCCTCACTTGTCAGACTTCTAGCAGGTCCACTTCTCATACACAGTCAAAGATTTCACTCTACTTTTCTGTTTGCCTCCTTACATGAATTCACATTGCTATTAACTTTGCCGTCAAACGCTTCTTAGAAACAGCTTTTTCATCTGGTTTGGTTTAAAAATGTGCTCTTATAATCAGCTGAGTTACATATAGGAAATTCACAGAAGTATGAGAACTTCAACATGCTCTAATTTAAAAAACTTTGACATATTTGATGAAGTGATTCTTTAGATATTTTCATACATTCCGTCAGAGTCAAGCATGAGTGTAGAGACTTTATTTTTGAAAAAAATTCTATTTTTAACCAGCATTCTCATCTGTGATGCACCGGTTGGTTTTAGAGTTGCCGCTGCTGCTAAAACAAATGTGGCATGTTCAAGCGCTGTGGGATTTTCCTCCATCAGAGATAGTTTGAAGCCCTGCTTTCTTATTTGCACTATGATCTGACTCTGCTTTTTCTGCTCTCAGTGCTGGACTCACAGCAGGTTCAGGGGAGGAACAACTACCATAATATTTATATCTACAACAGACAGTATTAAACCTTGGTTGTTTAGTGACATAGAGGACACAGACTCTTCTCATTTCTCCATACTGTGACACCCTGTCCTCTCTATCCTCATTTCTCTTGAGGTTTATGAGATGTTGATCTCAGCCTGCATACAAGTCTGTGATTGTATATTTAGGGGCAGGCAGAGAAGAAAGCTAAAACTTTGTGGAAAACCTAGGAGTGAGGACACACAGGTGAATCCATTTCAGGCATCTTTTCTCTCATTTTTCCAACCAAGTTTTGTGATTGGACAAGAGGTATTCCAGTGGTGCTGATACAAAGAACAACTCAAAGACTGCAGAGATCATCACCATAGTGACACAAAGTGACATCACCCATTGGTTTCTGAAGATTCCAGTGGTGGTCCAGCTTCCAGATTTTTTTCTCTGTTGAGAATAATCAAACCTCATTAACATGATTTAGTGACAAAAAGTAAACCTGGATCTATTTTTGCTTCAGTTAGCTAACATTAGACCTCATTTACCAAACAAGGATAAATTAGCCTTTTTGTATAAATATGGTTATATTTTCAGATGCATTCTGTACAAAAAACACAAAAGATTTTGACATTTTCATTATTATTTTAAATTTTTTAATAAACTCACACCACTGTTGTTTTTTACACAGTGATGGTTTCTCTGCTCTGGCTGCTCTGTTAGTCCCCCTTAAACTCTCCCCTGCTGTGAGACATCTGTGGAGTCTTTCTAATGACAGGAACTCGGTGTCAGTGAAGAGGACAATAGGGAAGAAGTTATTCTTACAGTGGGTGAAAAAGAGAACAATCAGAGAGATGAGGAGGAGATGAGGGTGGAGCTAAAAGGATGGCCTCTGTACTGATGGTCTTTGGTAGTGTGCAGGGGTGAATACTTAGGTGTGTTCACACTGATTTTTTAAGAAGTGGGCCCCTTCACCTGGTTGGATTGCATCTCCAAATGCAATTACATTAATCTGCACTGATCACTCATGATAGGACCTCAGTATACACAGAACACATAGAAATAGACACATAGCTTGCTTATATCTCATTAGCCACCAACAAAGATGATAAATGTCTGTGACGCAGATGGGTGTTATAGATTAGATCATGCAGTCAGGAGCAGTCACCTTTCTGACTGTCTTCATTTTGGTCCACATTGATATTGTCCTCTTTCCTTATACTGCGCTGCTACTACTGTTATTTTTTTAAAAGCTTAAAAGACGTCACACATGGACATTTTATGAGAAATGAACAGAGCTGCCAGACTGCAGCAACTATCTTACATCACAGTAACAATGTTAAATTAACAAAACATACAAATCTTTTTTGTGTTTTTGTACTGCTTACACCTAAATTGAAGTTAATCCAATAGGGTCAAACATGAAAGGTGTTCTTAAAAACACTACACAGATTTATGGACCTGTGCTTAAAGGGATATTCCAGCATTTTTGAGGTGAGGTTATAAAAGTTACGGGTCAGTGGTAAGCGTATTAGCCATGGTGGATGTCGGTCAGCCTGCCCCCTTATTGAGGAACTGTTCGGACAACCAGCACGCAAGCTACAGTTTTCCAGGTCATGTTTACCTCTGAATTCAAATTTGAAGAGATCATGACCAAAGTGCTTGTCAAGGTTTAGGTGTTCGCCCCACAGAGAAATTTATCTGCATATTCTTTTGTCCTCAGAATGCCTGTTTGTTTCAACACTATTTGCAGAAGCAACACGCAAACATGCTCTTCTGCATGCAGCCCACTGATCAGCTGTTTGGTCTGCAGCCTTCAAAGAGACTCGGATACAGCCAAACTAAAGCAATAGTGATTCTGACTGCAGTGAATACTGGATGTTGTAATATCCCTTTGAACTGCAGAGCTGTTAACACCTGTGCTTTAAAAAAATAAATAAATGCTGTGTTGATGAAGTCTGCAGCTTGTACCAGTTGTTCTAAACTAGCACTTTAACACCCCTTAATGCCCCTAAGCCCTCTCTTTGTGACATGTTGAAGAGTTGTTACCTTCATGCACATATGTATGTAATACATACATGGAATTTATCATTTTGCAGTATAGAAATGTTTTTTTCCCCAAAACCAAGTTGAGTCTGTTAACATAATGTAATCATTTGAAAAGAGTTCCAGTAGGTTTAAGGAAAATTTCCCCTCTAAGAGTAGTTGTTCTCCTCTTCACCTCCCCCACTCATATCTCAGGAGGAAAGAAAAGAGTCAAAGATGCATAAAAAGAGAAATGAGAAGAGTAGTAAAGTTCTGCCTCTTGACGGCTGCTGTAACTGACTGCCCTGTTTGGTTAGTTAGATTTGTGCCTAAAGGATTTATTGCCAAAATGTGTCAATACTGAGAGAGTTATTGCCACCCTTACATCTAGTTTAGACTGTGCTCGCCACTTTGTCCACTGCGGTCACTTTTAATGAACTAAATCATGAGCTGAAGTGTTGATGTTACTGTTAAAAAAAAATCTGAATGTAAAACAGTCTGCCCTGCCCTAATGTTAACTGGTATTAAAACCCAGAAACCTCTGTTTAATATTAAAACAAGATTAATCAAGATTTTAACGTTTCTACTAATACAAAATGGATACTGAGTGCCATTACTTCTGTTAATTTCCTTCCTTTTTTAAATATCTGTTCCCTCCATCCTAAGGAAGAGCACTCTTGCGAGTTAAAAATGTGTACAGCACTGATCTGAAGCCTCTTCTCTTTACTCACTCTAGCTGCAACTTCTTTGCTTGACAAGCTAACTTGGTGCAACTTTGCAAACTTGATCACTGTGCACTTTTTTATTTGGTTTTCCTGGCAGTGTGTGAGCTCAGTTAATATGCTGTTCAAAACATGTCCTCTGTTTCCAGACTGCTATTCAGGTAACTGCTGAAATGAAAAACACTGCTTCCAAAACAAGAAACTGAGTTTTTAATTCCTGTTTTCCTGCATTACAGAGGAACTATAAATAGTTTAGCACATTAATTCAGGCTTAATGTGTCAAGCTTTTGGATTATTTTCTTAAAATACCATTTCCTCTCTGTCCTTCCTAATTTTCCTCAGATGCTTTACTGCTGTATCATTTATGCATGGCCAAACTGCACATCTATTTTATCTCCAGTTAAGTACAGTTTTTCTTAAATGGATTTTCCTCCAGCTTTGTTTGATCAACCCTCAGAATTAGACCTCAATACCAGACATATTAAACATCTACAATATTGTCCAATATTACATTAACTAGCTTTTAAAAGTGAATTCATCTCCCACCAAATGCAGCCACAGCTCAAGTATATATTCTGCTTTTTTCATGTAACTCCACAGGAAATAGACAAAACCCTACTTTACCTCTGTAATCTGTCTTAACTCCGTTGTACAGTTTTTCTCCAGTCTCTACTTACTTCAAAATTTAGCCTGCACAATTTTCTTGTTAAAATCAGTGTCCTTTGTTGCAGCAGTTACCTTGATTGATTCAATAAGGCTTCACAAAAATCTGATTAAAGACAAAAGTACCACTCAAAGACACCCGAATAACCTTGGAGAGCATATTGTTTATCATTTTTATGTTCTGTTATTTGTTTGTGATTAAATTTTTCAGTCCTGGTACACACAGTAGCTAAACTAACAAAGATTGTAGGCTTATAGAGCGTAAAATGAGCTGGTAGTTGGAAAGAATAATGATATGTACAGTGTAAATGCACAATGTAAATGCTCCTTCTTTCATTTATGTTAATGTCATTTTAATTTCCTGTCTATAAATGCTGATTTTAATCATTTTATATTCCTGTTTTATTTTGAATTAAAAGGGAGTAACTGAACAGCACATCTTGTCTGTGTTAATTGCATGGTTTAGACAAAGTTGGTTTTCGGTGTATGTCTGGGAACGATAAGCAGATAAACAACTTACTGCCAAGACTGGAGCTCTGCACCATTTCCACATAGCATCTACAGCCACAACCACACAACCCGATCAAAAGCAGAGCACAATTGGACCCTAGCTCTGCAAAATGATATGTCATCACTTCATTATTGCAACCAACTATCTCTTCCTGGTGAGTCTCAGTTTCAACAATGAGCTACATAGAGGCTTCTCTATATGTTGGATGATATGGTCATTTATTCTTTTACTACATCAAACTGAGGAGCAATTGTTTCTGATAACTCTCAGTTTCACTGTAAACATGAAACAGGCCTCACCTTGGCTTACTTTCATCTTTGCAAACTAAGCTGTTATCACAGATAATTGAGCATATATTTACAGTCACAGTGGTCTCTCTGTGGCTCTATGAAAGTTAGGAGTTCATCAGACTAACAGCCCTGGGGAAAAACTGTCTGTGTCGGCTGGTTTTGGTCTTCAGTGATCTGTAACAGCTACCTGAGGAGAGGAGTTTAAACCGTCTCTGTCCTTGTTGTGAAGGGGTCTGCTGTGATGTTACCTGCACACTTCCTGACTCTGGACTGGTTTAAGTCCTGCATGGAGGGCAGATTGGCCCTGGTGTTTTTTTTGGGGGTTTTTTTCTGCAGTCCTCATTGTCCGTTGCAGTATGTTCGTCTCCTGCTTGGTTGCAGACCCAAACCAAACAGTGATGAATGTGCAGAGGACAGACTGTATGGTGGCAATGTAGAACTGGATCAGCAGCTCCTGAGGTAGGTTGAACTTCCTGAGTTGTTGCAGGAAGTACAATTTCTGCTAAGTCTTGTGGGAGGTCCACTTCAGGTCAGTGGAGATAGCCTAAAAGATCCCAGGAACTGGACGGAATGCAGCACCAGTGCTGATGGTCAGGGTGCTGCATGATGTTTGCCAGCTTCACCTGCTGTCTCATATCTGTCAGGAAGCTGTTGATCTACCGACAGGTGGAGGCTGGCACGGTGAGCTGGGTCAGGTTTTGATGGAGGAGTTCAGGAATACTGGGGTTGAACGCTGAAGTTAACAAATAGGATCCATGGGTCCCTGCGGTAAGCAAAACTGATTTGGGAGAGTGGGGTAAAATGAGCCATTTTTCATATTTCGGATCACTACATCAAGGCGATCATGGTTGTCGTAGTTGATGGCATATAACTGCTAAAAAGCTGTTTTGTTAAAAGCCATTTTAACATGAGAATGCCTTTAAGTTATTCAGAACATTCACAGCTGTATTTTTGAAACAGAAAAGTAACACATTTCAACAATCTGAACTGAAACTCTGATCCTCTCATCAGACTCCTTTACTTTCTCAGTTGAGTCACTGGCTCAACTTACCCCAGAACTATTATGACTTTATTAGTCCTCTAAGCTAAAATGGTAGACTCTTATGCTAGGTTTTTGACCTCATGTTGTTGCTCATAGATACCACAATTGATGTATAAAACAAATTTAAAATGATCTTTTTTGGTCTGAACACAATTCTAATAAAACTTGTGACTGACTAAATTCACTTTCAAGACTGAAAAATGTTTTTTGGAAATAAATGTCTAACCCCTTCACCCATGTGCTTCAAACCTTCACAGACTCCATGAATTGATGCCCATCTCCTAAATATTTGGTCACATGATCAATTTCTTTTACCATTTCCAAGCAACGGGGGGTGGCTCAACTTACCCTCTGGCTCGACTTACCCCACTCTCCCCTACCTCAAAATGTGTAGATCTTTTTTCTTATGTCACTTCAGTTATATGTCTTGGTGTCATTTTATTTATATAATTATAATTATTCATTTAAATTAATCTGCAAACATCCTGTCCCTCTAAACACTCTTTTGACGCTCCAGTAATTCTAGTTTCATTACACATTTCACCAGCTTTTATAACTGAAGCTCATCTTTCCTCCAAAACAGTGCCATAGATAGAGTCTAACTATAGACATATTTTGTATATTTGTTAACCAAAATAAAAAAGTCTGTATCTAAAAAGGTTAATAAAGTGGTTGTGTTTGCTTGGGGCTCATTTGGTGCCTCTCTCAATACCGAAAACATTTTCCAATTCCCAGAGTGCATTTTTTTGTGACTTTTTTCGGAACTGGATACATATTCACCCAAAAGAAATAAGACCTTTTTAGAAAAGACTTCATAAGATTCACTGAAAACATTAATCCCAGTATGTTTTTCACTGTGTGACACTGATTCAGCCACTAGAGGGCAGCTTCAGATCACTATCTAGACATGAAATTCTAATTGCAGAATAAACTGCTTTGAATTAATAAAGGCTGAAGTGTATCTGCATTACTGAAGAGGGTTATATCTCATGAGTGAAGTGGGCTGTCTGAATGATGAAACTAATTTAAAGTGCATTTATAACATGAGTTAAATGCATGAATCAGGTTTAAAACCCTAAAAACTGTGTATGCAAAGCTGCTTTGACAGAGGATCTGGTTTATTACTAAAAAAAAAAATGTTTTATGTTTTATGTGTGAATGTTTTAACTGTTAAATAAAATTTATTCATTATATTTTAAAAAGCAGCAGTAGATCCCCCAGTTATTGTGTGCAGCGGCACAGAATTTTGGTGTGACTACCCCCCCCCCCCCCCCCGAGAGGATTTCTGCTGTGTAAAAGAGAGCTGTGCTGCTAAAGAGCTGCTGACTGAATACAGATAGAAGGATGTTTTATCTGGTTTCACATCAGTCACAGTCAGCTGAGTTCCTCTTTGTTTGACAGAGTTTGTGGATCAAGAAAAGACAGACATTCAATGCCTGGCCATGTTCATGAGACAAAAACACTAGGAGACAAATGGGAACAGTTTAGACTCTGCTGCAGGAAAAGTAGTTAGGAGCAAAGCTCTCCAAACATCAAACCACTTTTCTGTTTGAACATGATAATAAAAATTTAAAAATTTGAACAATAAAATCTAGAAATATCCCTTACTCATCACCCTGACAAAAACATGATGAACAGATCATTTAATCTTAATTAACTGAGTTTTTTTTATCAGTTTATTCTCTTTCACACACATGCTGTAGGAATGAACAATGAAGAAACAAGTCAACTTTTATCAATATTCATCAACCATTTTGTGTGATGTGTCGTTAATGTCAGCAGAAGATTTAGTCAGTCGATCAAATGATCAAAACTTTATAAAGTGCTTTTCACACAACAGATATAACACCAAGTGCATTACAGTCCATTAAAAACAATCCCACATATCCTTTCACCCAACCAAACTACCTCCACAACTGCCTTACCCCACACAACCGCACAACCCACAGTCAACAGTCACATACACAGTCTCACCCTAAGACACACACACACTAAGATAGTGAACAGAGGCTGATCGGGAGGCTGAGCACAGATGAACCAGTTGAGAAAGCACCATCAGAGAAGCCATCTGCACCAGGAGCAGACAGCTGCCCACAGCCACAGGACACTGAATCAGGGCCAGAGGAGGGATGTGGCAAACACCAACCTCCACCAGGAACCCATGAGACAGGCCCCTGCAACCATAGCAACTGCTCCTGGTGCAGAGAGTTTCCCTCAAGGAAGCACTGGGGGTCCTAAAAATGATTATGAAATAGATTAAAATTATGAGATTTCTCCAAGATAAACAAAGTCATACAAGACCATCAGCGGAATAATTGACCATTTACATTTTAATTCCTGCAACTGAAGTGAGGGGATGTTGGCAAAAAAGCTGTAGAAACAGCCCTGTTTTCAGAATTTACACACACAATATTTACCATAAATGAGACATATAGGGCTCTATTTTCATGTCCGCCAGTGAGGCGGTGGAGGGTGGCGGACCCCGCGCAGTGGTATTTTTGTCTGGCGGAGAGCCCAGCGTACAGCCAGTTTAGTATTTTCGTGGACTGAGGCACACCAAGGTCCGCCAAGCTAGGCGTGGTGGCGAGGCAGGGAGAGGTGTCGACAGAATCAGCTGGCGCAGTGACATTTTCGTGCTCGCGGGGGCATATAAAGTGCGCTGAAACTTCGCCAATTCAGACCTGGTCAGCTTTCAGCGCAGGCGGAGCGCAGCTGGTCTAGTGGTATTTTGGTAGACCAGCAGCGTATCAGCATACGTCACCGATGCCTCACCGGCCAGTTTCCACAGTGTCAGGCACATTTCCGTGCAATAATTAATCATCAACAACTAATAATCTGAGTCAGCACATACATTTAGATCTATATAGATATATTCTGATCGATATCTGATCTGATGAGCGCGTTTGGCACACGTTTGGACACACAACCTGACCGAATCAACACAGCTGAAACCGCATTAAATTAAATTAAATATCTAGTAAATAGACACACATGATGAAGTTAACAAGATATATAATTCGTCTTCCTCCTTTTCTTTCTTCCTCTTCCTCTTATCTCTCGCGCAGCTCGACCTGGACATGTCTCAGTGTCCTCTCCCCGTCCTGCTGCAGCTGCTGCTGCGGCGGCTGAACAGATGATTCGTTTCAGTGATCAGATGAGTTATTTACTTTAAGCCTACTTATGGATATTATAATATTCAGTTTTGTGAGCCAAATTTATTTTATATGCCAACATCTATGAAAGAAAGAGCCAGGCCACGGAGCGATGCGTCATTTACGCACAGATGGTTCCGATTTTAATGCCATTTTTGGAATTTATGTTGTGATCTGTGCGCACAACCCACCTTTGTCACGTGAGGTTTGAATATATGCAACTTTATGTGAGTGTCTTTATTTGTGGAAAAGGGTGTTTGTCTTACTTGTGGGTTCAAACTTACACACACCAAATCCATCTGTGCTCATATGAGAGAGTGTGGAGGACGCCCAAAGCAGCGTTTACAGTGACACTTGTTGAGGAGCTGCCCTCTGTCGCCATTGTTTGGCATTACTGTCTTAAGACATCTCTTGATCTCTTTGACTACTTCATGAAAATAG